GACAGTGCCTTCAACTCACCCTCTCTCTGCACTGTGAAGTGCCAGCCCTGTTGCACTGTGAGGATGTTTATGTGCAGCTTCCTCCGGGAGCTAAACTTCTATTTCTTTTGTCAGCCACAACACAAGGATGCAGCATCAAGGGAAGCATCATGTTGCCACCAAACTGCCATTTACTTTTTGGCAGTGCAAGAACAACATGTCATTTTCCCATTTGCTTAAATGCAGCAGTAGTCTGGGTCTGTTCTTGCTAGTAGTTGTAAAAGCAATGGTGCAACTGTATCATCTTGTGCTAAGAACAGACTTCACTGCTTACGGTGGACCATGTTCAGTGAGAGAGGAAACTTGGAGAGCTAATGAAAATGAACAGCCACCTGTCCTGTGCAGCAACTGTGGTTGTGAGAGAAGGGCTGTGATGCTTGACACTGTGTACAGGTGGCAGGGAGGAGAGCATTCCTAGAAGTACGTGCTCACATCCTTCCTTGCTTGATGAAGGTAAAGACCAATAGAACGATGTCATGAGCCCAGTAGGAGGTTGCTCTGCTTCCCACTGCTATGTTGCCTGTCACTGTAGGGTTACACAGATGGCATCGCAACTTTGGACAGCCGTCACTTCTAAGCCTCTGCTCACATTTACCTGTGGACTTAGGGAATTGCAGGAAATAGAGGAGTTCCTTCTTGAGGGCTTTCCCTGCTGTGCTGGTGTCATTGATGTGCCGCATATCCTCATTCTCTGCTTACATCTCACCAGGGTTGATTCTGTATCAAAAGGGAGATTATAGATCCTTCTGTTAGGGAGAACCAGGACAGCCAAATTTTGAAAGACGATATGTCAGACTACTTATTGCTGAATTCTGAAATTGTACATATCGTATTGAAAACAACCTGTAATTTTCTGTGGTCACAGGCAGTCGAGGTCTGTAACTTAGAGCCCTTTGTTTCCCTCTGGCACTGCCTTAGAGGTCTCAGAAATGACAGCTGGAGCTGCTGTCATTTTCCTCTGCACAGGGAAACTGCAGGAAGTTATTGAACATTGCAAAACTGAGTATGGAATGTCTTTATTAAAAATTACCTGAAATGATAAATATATATGTAGCTAAGGAATTGGAATGGCATTGAAAAGTGGAGGTATGTTACCTGCCAGAGTCATTTTGTCATGCCGTCTCATACATAGTTTCTTGCTAATGTACAATATCTCCTGCAACCTTTTTTTTCTTTGATAACATTGGGAGGTGTATTTGAGGTGCTATAGGAAGTGCGGCTGGTTCTTCAGGGAGAGCCTCATAGATGATGGGATGCAGAAGGTAGATAGGGGGTATCTGAAAAGAGATGCAACAGCTGGTTGGGTAGATACTAGGAGGTCTGTCTGCTGTGTGCATTAGCTTGGGCTATTGCTCTAATTAGAGCTCAACAGAGATTGCTTTTGACTGACTTGAATTTTCTTTTTCAAATTCATCAAATTCAGAACAGCATACATTTTCTTCGAACTCTCTCATTACTTCTGGCTTCTTGGATACCTTCCTTTCCCCCAGGTCATGGCCTCAGCTTCACATATGCTGAAACATAGCAAGAAAAGTAGTGGTTATCATTCTTTCCTCAGATAGATGCCAGTCCTCATCACCAGTCCTTTTTTGCTGCCATTTTTCTGTTCTTCCTTTAGTGGAGCAGGTTATGGCCAGAATTACAATGTAGGAGGCAGGATCTGTGCCTGTGGAGAGAGGGGGCAGTGGTAGGAGTCGTTGTAGATGTGTGAAACAAAGGAATGGGGAGAGATGAGTGATGGAGTACCAGCTGAGGCTGCTGCTGAGATCTCTCCAGGCAGCTCCTACAGTGAGTGATGGACACTGATCCGTGTCACTTGAGGTCAGCCAAAATCCTCAGTGAAGCTGAGAGGTGAGTTTGTGCTGAAACTTTTACTGTACTTAATACTTGTGGATATAGTGAGCTTGTTGACAAACGCCTAGATCCTTAGGTTCAGCAAAAATATTCATGTCTCAGGAAAAGTTTGAATGAGTTTTGGCTACTGTATGTGAAAGTTTGATATTACAAACTTGAGAATCTTTCCTGTGTGGTAGGTACTTAGTCTGGAAGCAGAAACAGGACAGACATACTGAGCTTCAAGTTGCTTCAATTACACTATGCTGTGTTCTCAGAATACACGGTTGGTTCTGTATTGCAGCCGTGAAAAGCTAGGGAAGTTGGAAGGGGTGCAGAAATACTGGTTAAGAAATTGAATACGTAGATGCAGTCATCTTATGTGGCTTGAAACAGCTATAATCACTGGGACAGGACAAGTCCTGTAACTAAGGGTTTTAATGAGGGCAATAATAAATTGCCCTGTTTACAAAATAGACAGGATTTGGCAGAGTGTCCAGAGAAAAGCTGGCCTGGGGCTTTATGAAACTATTGTCTGTATCTAGCCTGTGAGCAACATGTTTGTCAATTCTAGGAGTCTTGAGCAGATTTGAAATAAGTTCTAGTTTGTCTCCCTTCCTCTGTTTCACAGGGTACCTGTATTCCGTGATAATGTAATCTTCCTCTTGAAAATCCTACTTTTCCTTGCTAAAGGCAAGGCAGGGTCTGAGAAAGGATCCACTGCAAGGCATGTTCTGGTAAAGGAGTGCAAGGAGGAGAAATATGAACAAGCAGTTATCTGTGCAATAAGCCTGAGTATAGAGGAGGAGAGTAATGAGAAGTATGTAGAGACAGTATCATTTGAATACAAAGGGGATATGAGTACTACAATACTTGAAGTTCTACAGTACTTAAAAGATGTCATGCTTTGAAGTATGCTTAAATTCAGAAGTGATTTCAGAAGAAGGGGCCGTTTCTTCAGTGACTGCTAGCTTCAGTGTGTTGAAGTTACAAAACCAAAAGTGGTAAGTAATGGCAAGATAAGGGAAAGCACCCAAAACTCTTGGATGTTATTTTTATGCCTTTTAACATCTTCTGGAGATGAAAACAGAAGTTTCTAACTGGTGACCAGAAGTTTCTTCTGGTGACAAAGCCTAGCAGCAACTTTGACAATTTGTAGAAGGGGGTTAAGGACTCCCTTTTCTCCCTTTTGTATTTGAATAGAAAATGGAAATTTCTATTGTAAAATAGGATAGGTCTAAGTAAGAGGAGGGGAGGTTGGGATAAAAGAAGTGTTTTGTGGTCCAGACTGAATATGTAATGGGCATTTTAGTGCATCTTTTGGAAGTACATGTCTTTTGCATAGTTGCTGATAGAGCTGGGTTCTGCAATGCAGGACCAGAAGATCCTTCCAGTTCTGTATTTGTAGAGCAGTCCAGTTGCTTCTCAGATATCAGTGCATGTGTGGATAGTATGCAGTTGGATGTTCTTTTTTTTCGCATATATGTAAAGGAAGATTGTTTAAGCTCTGTCCATGGTTCCGTCATGCTTACTGATTGGAGCTGCACCCATTTCTTTGAAAATCTACCTATTCCTGTGGCTTAATTGTGAAATGCATATGTATGGTGTGGACTAAGAAATTGCTCCATGAGCAACTGAACAAATGAACTTTAATTTCTTATGGATTTGTGCTCCATGTTGCTCAGCCCATATCACTTTCCTGTTTCTTCTTGTATCCACCTCGCCCTTTAACAGCATTGCTAGTCGGCTTTCATTCTGTCACTGCTCTGATCCCAAAGCTTCTGTTCCTGATTTTTGTGAAACTTGTAGAATATCAACTTAAGACTGTATTGCTTAGTCCAGTTTGATTGGCATTCATGGTAGGGCAATGTGCTCAGTTCCCTAAGAAAACAGGGAAAGTGCTTTTGGAATAGATTCAAAAAAATTGTTTTGGATGCATATTTTTAGATTAGCTGTTAGTCTAATGTATTTTTAGACAGAAAAATAACATTAAATTGACACAATAACACTGGCTGGAAGCTTATTTTGGGAATGTTCTGAGAGACCCCCCCAGATTAGGCTGGTATCTTACGAGTGACAATCGTATAACAACTGTTTAATTTCAATCTACAAGGAAAAAAAATCAGTGTTATAAATATTGAGAAATGTCCAAACGTTCCCTTTCAGTAGAGAGATACCTCCCACAGTAGTTGAAAATGGCTTGCTGAATATGGTTAGACTGGGTCTTATGTTTATTGTATTAATGAGTAACTCATATTGGAATTAATGGAGTCTAGCCAGAGTGTTAAAAATTGGTTGCTTTTCAGATGCGATGCCTTTTTTGAGGTTTTATTATAAATTTCTTATTTTGTAAAAGCTTTCATCCCTTTGGAATGAGACAAAAGAAAATAGGCTTTGTACGCAGAGGGCTGTCAGCTATGCAGAAACTGCATAAAATCACTGTTGTTTTTGAAATAGCATTTTTGGTGTTCATAAAGGAGCAGATAAAATGATGTAAGGGAAAATATTTTCATAGTGGATAGAATCTTCATGAGCAGCAATAGTTTTTTTTATGTACTGTAATTAGCTCATGGAAAAAAGCATTTAACAGAGGAAAACAGAGCCTAGCCATGAGGATGCTATATTCTCCTTAGAAAAATTCTATGTGGCTTTGTCAAAAATGGCTTATTTGTTCTGAAATTTTATGACGAGGATGCAGTTTTGAAATGGTGTGAATGGCAGTGTTTCAAAGTACTTTTTGATTTAGGCTTAAATGCAAAATGTAAGTAAATTCAAATTTGGTAGGAAAGACCAACTGGGAAAGCAAGTTGTGTGTATCAAATGAAATGTGAAATTCTCTCTTCATTGCCTAAGTTCATTTCTTATGGTTTGCTTGCAGATTTTTGCATTACTGTAAAGGTCTACTGTTACAAATTTTGTTTTGCAGGCTCTATTGCTGTAAAATAATTTGCAAAATTTGCAGGCACTTTTATATGGTTATGAATGAATTAGTACCCATGCAAAAGTTATGTTTTCTAAAATGAAGTTGGGGATGAAAAGCACGTGAAGTTGTTTAAGAAGGACAAAAGAGTTAAAGTTAACATTGAGAGCTAACTATGCAGATTTTTTTCTCCTTTATTGCAGGAACCCTGAAGCTTACTCTTTAAAAGGAGCAGTGCTGTGAAAGCTGTTACACACCAGAGAAATGGACATGTTGCAGATACTGCGTAAAACCACAGAGCGCTTAGAATGTGATCACTGCAGCTTCAGAGGAACAGACTATGAAAACATACAGATCCATATGGGCACCATACACCCAGAGTATTGTGATGAAATGGATGCTGCTGGTTTAGGTAAACTCATATTTTATCAAAAAAGCGCAAAATTGTTTCACTGCCACAAATGTTTCTTCACCAGCAAGATGTATTGCAATGTATATTATCACATCACAGCACAACATGCGGCACCTGAAAAATGGAATGAGGAGCAGAAGGAACAGGTAGAAAGAGAGTCAGATTCCTCAAAAAAAACTGTTGGTTTCGAGCCACAGAAACCTACCCTTTCCCCTGAATCACACAAGCCTGCCCTTTCTACTGAGCTCCCCAAATCTGAACCTGTTGTTTCTCCCAAACTGCAAAAATCATCCGTCTCCCCAGAGCCACAGAAGTCAACCCAGAGCATGTGCTCAGACCCAGAAAAGTCAGCCCAGGCCGTGTCCCCAGACCCTGAAAAGTCAGCCCGGGCCATGTCTCCAGATGCAGAGAATTTACTCTCTGCTGTGTCCCCAGACTCGGAAAACTCCGCCCAGGCTGTGTCCTCAGACTCGCAGAAGTCCTCCCCTGCAGCGTCCCCAGACCCGCAGAAGCCATCCCCGGCCGTGTCCCCGGAGCCGGCAGGGGCGCAGGCCACCTCCCGCCGCCTCTCCCGAGCCCCGCAGGCCGCCTCCCGCTGCTTCGCCAGAACCCTGGGGACCCGCTCCCCCGCCGTCCCCCGAGCCCTGGAGGGCTGCGCCTCATGACGTGCAGAAATCTTCCACTGCTTCTCCCTGGGCTTCCAAGCCTGCCATGTCCATGGAAGCCCGCAGGTCTGCTGCAGAGCCCCGAAGGCCTGGCCCCGTTGTGTCACCAGAGCCCAGGAGGCTTGTTTCTGACTCGTGGAAATCCACTTCCTTTTCTGAATCCCAGAAGTCTACCCTCATTTCTACTGAGCCATGGAAGCCCATCTCATCTGTGTACCCTGAAGGCTGGAAACCTGTGCTTTCCCCTGATACGTGGAAGCATTCAACCCCTGTTTCTCCTGAACTTCGGAAATCTAGTCATACTGTTTCCTCTGACACTTGGAAGTCTTCTTTCTTTCCCGAGGTCCGTAAACCTGCTGCTTCAGTATCTCCTGAATCCTGGAAACTCTCAGAGTCCCGGAAATCTATGTTTTTTTCTGAAACTCAAAAAGCCACCTCTGCTGCTTCTTCTGAGGTTCAGAAACGGGGCCATTTCCCAGAACCTCGGAAAAGAGCTCTGTTTCCAGAGTCACGTAAATCTACCGTTGCTGCTGATGCCCAAAAACGTGCCGTGTTTCCTGAGCCCCAGAACCAGGTGTCTGCTTCTGCTCTTTCTACTGAAGCCCCAAAACACGCCCAATTTCCTGAATCCCAAAAGTCAGCTCCTGTTTCTCCTGAAGCCCAGAAGCATGCCCTGTTTTCTGAAGCCCAAAAACGTGCACCCGTTTCCCCTGAAGTTCAGGAACATAGTTCCTTTTCAGAATCTCAGAAATCTGCCTCTCCTGAGATCCAGAAACATGCCCTCTTCTCTGAGTCCCCAAAACTGGCTCCTTCTGTATCTTCTGAGACCCCCAAGCAAGCTCTTTATACTGACTCTCAGAAATCTACCATTTCTCCTGATGCTCAGAAACATGCAGTATTTTCTGAGATGCAGAAATCTGCTGCTTCCTTATCCTCTGATGTCCAGAGACATACTGAACCTACTGTACCTGCTGAAATCCAGAAAAGCTTCCTGTTTTCTGAGTCTCACAAATCTGTTCCAGGTTTTTCCTCTGAGCCCCAGACGCCAAGTGAGTCTGGTGAAAGTGACTTCCTTTCTCAGAGTTTAGATGATCAAAAACCACTCGATGATTTATTTTCACCAGAGGAACAATCAATATTAGCCAAAGAATCACCAGAAGACATGTTATATTCACGGCCCAAAAAGAAGCCCAAGAAGGAAAACCCGGAAAACTCAGATTCTGAGCTAAACAGCAGTGAATGTGGAAAAATAGAAATGGACTCAATGGAGATGAAGGAGCAAGAATCCAACAGTGACCAAGAGCAATATGATATGGAGTCATCTGATTACTGCAAAGAGAGTAAAATGGATGCAGCTACTCCCATGCCGCCACAGTGTGTGCTGCAGTTCACTGAAGAGAAGGAGGCTTTCATCTCAGAGGAAGAAATAGCAAAATACATGAAGCGTGGCAAAGGAAAGTATTATTGCAAAATTTGTTGCTGTCGTGCGATGAAAAAAGGTGCTGTCTTGCATCATTTAGTTAATAAACATAATGTTCAAAGCCCGTACAAATGCAAAATCTGTGGCAAAGCTTTTCTCTTGGAGTCGCTTCTTAAAAACCATGTTGCTGCTCATGGTCAAAGTTTGTTGAAGTGTCCACGTTGTAATTTTGAATCAAATTTTCCACGAGGCTTTAAGAAACATTTAACCCATTGCCAAAGCCGTCATAATGATGATACAGCTAAAAAACATTTGGACAGTCTTGAACCACTTGAAGAACAAATTTAATGAGTTTTTCTCTTATGCTAGAAAATCTTAATTTACAGAAGTGTTCAAAAGTGTTACTGTATGTTAACCAAGTAGTTTAGCTGATCTGACAAGTCAGAAGATGCATGGTTTATTGTACTATGTTTAACTTGTCTTATAGCTGTATTACTGCAATGATTTACTTTTCAAAAGTAATTTTAACCACACATTCATGTCTCTGTATTACCCATCAGTAAAGTCATATTTTATTTTTCAGATGTACTATGTTTCTGAAACCAAAATGGATAAAAATTAGTTTTGTAAAGATTTGTAAAACATGCAGGCAATTAAGGACCAGAGTGGCAAGCTATCCGTATATTCCTGTGAAGACTGAACTTGTTTTATTGAAAGTCTTATTTTTCAAAATGTTTTTATCAAACTCTCAAAGTTGAAATTCTCGTAAATTGAATGCGAATGAGCCAGGCTTGAGAAACTGCCAATTTTCTGAAATAATTCTGCCCTAAGGTTGTTATTGAGTGTATGACCATTTGTTGGAAATCTGTCACACTCAATTCTCTGCCTTATTTGTCTCAGATTTAGGAGCATCAAGGTACTTATTTTGTGATTTTGTATTTTGGCCATGTTTTAAGCATGTACTAATATACACTAAATTGATGGATTAATGTCAGACTATGTATAGCTCAACATTTTCCCTTGATAATTCGGATGTTTGTTATGTCAGAAAAAAAAAAAAAACCCTACATTTCTTGTATCTGGTGAAATGTTATGCTTTAATCTTTTAACAATAAAACCCCAAACCTGGGCACTGGCCATTGTTCTTTTCTTCCAAATCTGGAGCAAAACCTTGAATGTTCAGGTAAGTCCCAGCCTTTCAAATATTGGTTGAATAGCAACATGCAATGCAAAATAACATTGGAGTTCTGTTATAGATACTACAACTTTTTAGTCATCAGCATATGAAAGCAAGGTTTGTTGAAATTATATTTCAGAAAAGCGTTTTAGACATGAATGGAGAAAAACATGGAAACTTAGAATGTGTGCATTATTCAGCTTGCTTGGTACTTAAGTATTAGCTGTTCAA